CAGAGGTTTAGAGACATTAAAATGGCTTAAATATCACCCTCCTTTAAAAGGAAGCTGCATATACAGTATTGATTTACTAAAAGCATATATGCTCTTCAGTATGCAAGAGAATTTCATCTTAGCCTAGTGAATGAGATAAAGCTCTGCTGACTTCCATCATACAATCATGTGGAAGAAAAAAAAATAACTTTTTTTTTTCATATTCCCATAACTGGATTTTCTTTGTAAAGTGAATTTTTACAACATTCACTCAACTAAGGGAAAATTCACAGCCTATTTGCCCTTTAGTAAATGAACCCCATAATGTGTAAATCACTGCTGCAATACTAGTATCGGTGCCAATACTTAGTATTTGGTATTTGGGCAAGTGCTCGTGCTTACCCAAATGTTCCGATACTTACCCCCAATACCGAAACTTCTGGTCAGAGGGACATTTTTTGGTGCAAGGGAACATGGAGCCTGCTTCCATGTGCTGATTAGCTGGGAGCCGCCTTCCCAGCCAATCAGCATCGAGATGGCCAAACAGAATGAAGCCAGCTTCCTGGGCAATCAAGAAGCCGGGCAGTGGGTAATGACAAGCTGCCCAGGTTCCTGATTGCGAAGGAAGCTGGCCCCATGCTATCAGAAGTATACCGGAAATATAAATATTGGTACTTGTACTCGATACCGAAAAACCAATAATCGGTGCATTCCTACAGCATATATATCCCATCAGTCACCATAGGCACCACAAACGACAAATGATCTGATACCTGCAATCTCACGGAAATGACAGTGCACAAATAATTTTACTGAAAATTAATACTACTGGTTATTTTTGGACTAATAAACTGAAATTTTCACCTTTGGAGACGAGATAAAGTTGTTTCACAAGATTCTTGTAAATTAACATGCATACTTGTACATTCATAAATGTGTGTGCACATCAAAGCTTCAACAAGAAAAATATTCTAGTAGAAGGAGTGTCCACACCTTGGTGACAACATTTTACACACATCTTTTTTTAGCGTTTTTTTGCGTGTATTAGGTTGCACGTTTTTGTGAGCAGATTTTAGCACATTCATGTGAATGGGCACAACGAGTGCAAAAACGTGCAAAAAAAAACCCCTGCAATGCGTTTTTCAAGCATTTTCTATTAAGTCTATGGGACAAACCGCGCTGAAATCTGCCCCAAAGTAGTGCTCATGTAATATTTTGTTCGACAGGCATATTTCTGCTTGCGACAATAGCACAGGTGTGAACACGGGCCATAGAAATTAATTGGATTCCTTGGGTGGAGCGTTTTGTTGTGCTGAATCAGCCGGCAACAATACGCCTAGGTGTGAATGGAGCCATTATAAAGATATATTGACTAAACTAGTCTTGTCCCATAGTATAACCACAACAGAACCACAGAACAACATTTCAGTGAAAAAAAACATTGCCTATGCACTCTACATACCTTAAAAACCTATATATGGAATTACAATTAAAAAAAATATGATCCTCAACTAATACCTCATTTCTTATTATCACAGCAGATCAAAAACAATTATTAGTTCCACTGACACAAACATGTTTCATGTCTCATATTAATCAAAACATTAGCTATGCTCCCCTTGCAAGGAAAGGAAAAGATGATAATTTGTTGATAAAGCATGACAAGCAAGTGTGACATGAACTAAACAATCACTACAGAAGTATCTTCCTAGCACATGTGTTTAAAAATTAGTGATTGGTTCATCTTCAATGAATTTGTTGAAGGTTACATTCACTGATTAATAATATGCCATGCTATTTATTGTGACTACAGTTATAATTTAAGGACGCCTGCATTTAAGATGTTTTGATACTTCTATACATAAAGCTCTGTTTTAAACTTAAAGTTGTCCTCTAATATTTTCAGTGTCAATATCAAGGTGCAAGAAGGTCTCTCCCACCACTTGAACCTGCTACAGCTATGGAGTTTCATTTTGCCAGTGTGTGATCTGTGACCTGGGAGTCCTAATACCGTGGTTATAAAAATCGTTTTAGAGTTAGGACTTCATGAATACACCTGCAGCCTTGTTACTATATTTGCCAAGATAAAAAAAAAAATAGTATTATATAAGACTTTTTAGATGTCCATGAATTTGTAGGAATATCTACTTTACAGCTTTAAGTTTACATCTAACTGCAGTTAACACACATGAGTTTGTATCTCTAAATTTCTGAGTCCTGCAGAACAGCCCATACTGCCAGTGCACTATGAACTTTGTAAAAAGGCTATTATTACAGCATGTGACAGGTCCTCTCTAATCAGTGTGTGCATCAGAAAATGTATTCGAAAACATATATAGTAGGTACTGAGTGCCTGTTACTGCTATAGATTCTAGCTGTATTCTTGCATTTCATAAAAACCACAAATAATCTTCATCCCCTTAAAACTAGAGAGGCTGACACTTGTTGCATGTATTCAAAACCACTTTTAATTCTACAAGCTGGCTACACCCTTGTTTTTTCAGCATTACAAATAACCTTCCATTAAACTTGCAGTCCAAATCCAGACAAAATGTTCTAACTTTGTTTTGGATAGATCAGGTAAAGGCTAGAGCGTATGTGAGATATTTATTTCTGACTGTGTCCCTATTGTGGAAATTCCTTCTCGCCTTTGGTCAGGAAAGGAAGTGATGGGAAATGTCTCCAACAGGGATAGAGAAAAAAAAACACATGTGAAAGGGTTAGAAATACTGACAATGTTTCTTTTGTTCTACATCCCTTCCTGGCCTGCGGACATCTGTTCCCCTATTTTCTTGTATGTTTGTGTCACAGGCACAGGAATTGAGGAAAAATTTCCCAATGGCTTCACAGACTGATATAAACCTGTTAGAAATGTCAACTCTTACTCCATCAAAAAATAAAAAATAAATTGGCTAGAATTAAGGTGCCCATACACCTTACAACCATTGCAAGACTTTTGTCTTGCGATGGTTGTAAGCTAATGAAAAGCTGGTATGATCTGCCCACCTTGGACAGGCAGATCGTACTTGCGATCATCGAAAGCCCGCTCCGATGAGGGGCTGGCTTCCGATGACTGCAATGCTGAATGGGCAGTGTGCGCTTGCGCGCACCAGCCCTTTCGGCATTTGTCTTACAAGCCACAAACCCGACGACAATCGTATGATTCTCGACGGGTTTTCAAACATGCTCGTTAAACAAAAGACGTGCGACCGTACAGTAGAAACAGTTGCACGCCTTCCATACACCTTGCGATTATCGTACGATCGTGAGATTTCCTGCAATTATCGTACGATAATCGCAAGGTGTATGGGCACCTTTAGGCTTCAATGTTAATTCTGCAGAAAACTACAACAAAATAAATGAGCCACATCCTACATGTTTTGAGCCAGAAATCAAAACATGAAGATAAAAAAAAACTTTCCTTCAAGCAGGAGGCCACCATCCACCCAAGAAATTATGCGCCATGGTATTCAGAGGACTGAAATACACCTCTCTGCTTAAATCAGAAAATAGAAACATGCCCAGAGCTGAGTAACAATCTGAAGTGTTTGTTAAAGCAGACCTCACAGTCAATTGCAAGGTCCATTTCATATCGCAGGCCCTCTTTCCTGTTAAATTTTTAAGATTTACAAGGTTTTTTTTTTAACTGTAAACCTGCAAAATGTGACGAGGGAGGGGGTCCTAATATTTAAATTGGACCTTGCCTTTTTACTGCAAGGTCTGCTTTAATACGTTGGACTCCCCCCACAGACTTTTTTGTGCTTGGTGGTATAATGACACCTGTGGCTAATACCACAAAATGTTTCACTACAAGTATACGACAAGACGCCAGTCTTAAGCCAGGTATACACGTTTCTATTTTTTTTTTTTCGTTTAACCTGAGGGCTGAACGAAAAAAATAGAACAGATTCCTCAATCAACGATTACGAATATTGATGGATGAATCCCCTGCTTTGTATTCTGACAGAGGCCACAAGCCACTGCCAGAATTTCTAAACGGAAATAGCAAGCTGATTGACTGCTAGCTCCAGTCGGCCGAGAATTTTCCAACCGGCTCTATCGATTGGCTGATTGAGGGATGCTGGGGTAAAGAGAAGGGGACACCCACTGTGCAAATTTCAGCCGGTTCATCAGGAACCGGACGAAATTAATCCTGTGTATACCCTACTATAGACAGTTCATTTATATAAATCTAATAAGATAGCACCCATACTGTACATATATTACTATACATGGTCAAGCACAATTCTAATAATAAACACATGTCGATGACTATATAGTGCCCTACCCAACTGCACTGTACATTTTAAAACAGGCACACATCCTATTTCTTTTATGTCCACACAAATTGAAAGGATCCTAAACTATGGGAAAAGGCAATAATCATTCTTCATGCTGGGGAAACAAAATCTGTGAGAAATAGTGAGCGCTTTAACAGACTGTGTTTATTATATGAATAAAACAACCCAGGGACCTTAAAAAATAGCAAAACTCATTTTTAAAGATAAAAAAGTTAATAAAATAAAAATGACATACCATAACACCAAAAAAGCAGCTGCATGTCTAAAAGTAAACCCATCAAAAACTTGGGCAATTTTGGGATATGACAAAACAATAAACAGAAGATTACCTTCTGTGAAAAAACATGTCAGACCAAATAAGTAAATCAGCAAATATAAGCAGAGCTAAAACTATATTCAAATCCCAACTTTTCATGTAGCAATTCAACTTGGCCCTGCCCTTCCTGCCTTGCTGTTGGTCTTTTAATACAATCAGTGGCTTCACTGACCAATAGGTAGGCTTGGCAAGAGAGAGTGGTCTATTTTTACAGAAAAAGTCAAGATTTTTATGCAACTTCAGCCTACCTATTGTTTTGATGAATATTTACTCCTGTGTATGCATTTTGTTACATATGTTTCATTTAATCATTCAGGTTTGTGACAAATTTACTATAAGAACACATTGCAACTAGTACAGTACCATCAATATTTTTAAGTTCAAGGAACCAAATGTAGCTTTACCTGTGGTGTGTCCCAAGTTATCATTAGAGTGCTGAGTGAGGTCAATTGTTCTATCTATTTGGAACATTTTTAAGTCTTCTTCATCTAAGGCAATGTCTCCCCAAAAGACAGCTAAAGAAAAAGAGAAAAATCAATAATAATGATTAGGAACAATAAACTGTGTACTCGTTTTGGTTTACTCAGAAAATGAATATTTCACAAATCTAAGAGGACAACATTCCAACAAATTAGAAGAGGCAATTTACTCTAGTATTTCAGACTGTTCACCATATACTGCCATGGTCTTGTTGTATGTACAGACATACCCATTTGTAAATATGTGACAGACATTCTTGGCATTCTTAGTGAATGTTCACATACTTGAAATGCAATTAAAATTTTCACAGAATATATGCACATCGTTTACAACAGAAATGTAAAATGGCAATGCCCTTTTGATATTTGCTATAAATAGATTTTGTTTATTAAGTAGCATTTTATACAAAATTTGATGCTTCTTACTGGACCACTAAAAACTACCTTTCTTTTGGCCAAAAAATAAGTACTGTATTTGTATGATATGTTTAAAAATGAGGACTCCAATATTATTAAGCTGCACTACAGTCAAACAGCTAAACAGTATAAATATATGTATGTGAACTTTTTTTACCTATGAAAAGGACTTTGTCCAACCAGTCTTTTAAACCCAGCCCTCCAAATTAACAGCGCAACCAGGTACTGGACCTATGTGCAGACCATACTGGAGTTACAGAGCACTACCTGGGGCAAGTCCTGGACCAAGAAGCGGCAGGATGAAGTCAACATCCTACTTTGCTATCTTGATAGCCCTGTCCAAACCACTAGAGCTCTAAATCCCTGAATCAACAGCAGAACAGTGCATGAAGTTGGAACCTAGCAGATAACTATTCCAAACAGTACACTTCCGATTAATTCATCGACACACCTATAGACGCTTTCTTTTACAAAATGTCTGAACATCCATTTCCATTTTTATTGGGAGAAAGTGTATTTAAAAGAAAACCTGACAGAATTGTTGGTGTTGTCATGACCGGACTTCTCCATCTAAAAAAAGTGCTAGTTGCCAAGATACAATGTTAATGCCCTGGCCACATTACTTTATAAGTTACTGACTTTGGACAAATATGAAGATCAAGCATCTTAACTTTATATTAACCCCATATATGCTTACATCTTGTTGAAATGCTGAAGCTAGAGACAGCCAGGCAACTAACATTTTCATTTGGAGGTAATCAATGGAACTGATTTTTTTTTTCAGCACAGGACCAAAACCCAAATACAACAGTTCCCAAAATTTACATTCAATCAAAAGATCTGCAAAATCAAATGAAAATTGTCTGTGTAGCATCCACGAGTTCACCATACTTGAGCTTTTCTACATCAGTATCTATATCAGCTTTAAGTATCTTTATAATTGCCTAAAAAGGAGAGGGGAGCTGGCTTACTACCTAGCACTGTGTAATACTATGTTCAAATCTTACCAGGCAAACTACTAACATGGAATACATTCTTCCTGGTTTGTCAGGTGTTCCGGTTTCCCGACATAATCAAAAGACCTTAGAACGTTTATTGGCTCAAAGCATGCGTGTGGGTGGTTGTTGAGATCCATGACTATTGCCTATAAAGTGTTATAGAATAGGCTGGAGGTCTACAAATAATGAACAATTTTGAATGTGGAGTAATTACAGTAAAAAGAAAAAAAAATCTATTGAAACATATATTAAAAACACAGATGACTGAAATAAGCAAGATATACTGTATGTGTTGTTGTAAAACAAAAAAAATGATGCTGTTCTTTTGATAATAATGGAGGGCACTGTTGGGGATAGTTATCTGTAGCTCGAGATCTCGCTCACATCAAGCTGACAGATGCGCAGCTACCAAGGACAGTTCTTGAGGGTGTGCCTGCATGGTTTCCATCAACAGCATCTAATCACTAAAGACAGATGCTTGACAGGCATGGTCAGTAGAAAGGTGAACTGCATCAACACAGCTTACTAGTTTTAATTAAATAGACAATTATGTAGTAAAAGATGTCTTCGTAAATATATTACTCCGTAAAAATCTGGATAGACTGTTTAACTTGGGAATAATAGACTGAAGGAGAAAAAAAAAAAAAAATCAATAGATTCCTCCATTCATGCTAAAAAAAAAATGGATGGTGGAATTTGCACTGCTGGCTATTGTAAAGACAGCCATAGTAGCTGCAACTGTCTGAATATCCAAACAGTGACTGTTCAACTAGTAATTTTTCAACTAGTAATTTTAACCCAGTTTAGTTGACTTTTCCATCATCTTTGTCAAGCCGGTTGTTGCCAACAGAGCCACCCACAGCTTGTGTTTTTGCCGGTACCTGCTAAATAGGTAGAATTATGGCTAGCTTTTTTCTCAGTGACTCTCCCTAAAAACCTAATTGATCAAATCAGGGCAAATGTCTGTAGCAATAAAGGATTGCTTAGTAACATAAAAGAAGAAAATTTAATATATGTTAAAAAGCAAAAGAAAAGGACGTTTGTAATTATTTTTTCTAAACAGTGCCAAAATAAATGAGCAGGTTAAGCAAGGCATCACCCTGTTCTAAGGGCGAAAAAGAATGCAAAGGAGATTCCAGCAATGCCACCATAGACAGCTGCCTCCATCAATGGACCCCTATGGGCTAGCAATACATATGGCTATGAAGGGGGGAAACAGTAATGTCATAGTGCTAAATGGATGCTAAAATAAGTAATGCTTTTACACAGTTGTTTGTCAGCAAAAAAAATGGTTTTAAAGCGACATTAAAGACTAATGCTGGCCATACACTGCTCTATTTTTTTTATTCAACCTTAAGTTTTTAGTCTTTTCAGTTGCTGCTGTAAAAGCCTTACAGTGTTTTCTCTTTGTATGAAACATTTGAAAGTTTTTATTTTCTCATTAATTTGCTTCCCGAGCCCTGCTTTCCTGTTACAGGGTGGTTCCTCACCCTTACAGAGTCCTAAGGTGCCCCCCTTGCATGCGCGCTCCCAGCCAGGACTAGGAAAAGAATGCCCCTTTGCCAAGGATGTCCAAACTCCGACCCCCCAGCTGTGGTGAAACTACAAATGCCATGAAGCATCTCTCTCCGGGAGTCATGTCTGTGGTTGTGAGAATCTTGCAAAGCCTCATGGGATTCGTAGTTCTACCACAGCTGGAGGGCCGCAGATTGGACATCCCTGCCCTATGCTGTGTACATACAGGCAATAAGCCTAGGATGGCAAACACCTGCTCTCCCCTCCTTCCGTCTCAATACTAATTGATGGAAAGCTGCTGAAGACTGTGTTACCCCTTCATGGAAAGTACTAAGTTTGTGCGCTCCCCAAGAGGATGTTGGGGGAGGCAGTGGCGTGACTTAAGTACAGAAGATGAGCTAAGTTGAAATAACAGATACCCCCATCCACCCTAAACAGCATAGATGGATGAGTCTCCAGCTGTGGCTATTTTCTGTCCAGCCCTGACAAGCATAGATGGACAAGTCTCCTGAATTTTCCGGCCAGCTCTTTCTATTTTCTGATCGAAGGATCATGGGTAGGAGGCTGCTGACAGGGCCATCTATGGATCAATATTCGGCGAGTTCATCAAGAAATGGCTGAAATTTGCTCAGTGTATGGCCAGCTTTAGCAGTCCTGCAGATTAGTTTTACTTCTCTGCTAAAGCAAATCTACAAGTTCTCCTGACCTGTCCGTTAAAGCAATCTCTTTGTGGCTGAGCTCTTATCTAGGCTGTTGCCGATAAGGCTTAATGCTTGTTTTTACAAATGAATAGCCACTAGAAGGTTTCCAATATATAATTTACAGCAAATGTTTACAAATCTGAAGGTCAATCTCCAAAATTACATTAGGAAAAACATTACAATATGAGGCTCAAGGTTTTTGCTGTCTTAAAGAACTCGGGATAGAATAAAACATAACTCTTGAGGTGCGGATACCGGGCTCATTTTTGGCTAGGTTGTAAAATGAAAAATAAATACTCACTTGAACCTCAGTCCTAAAAGACTAAGAACTCCCCTGAGCATGCACGACTATCTGTGGGGGACATTTATCAAGCAAATGAGGGACACAGTTGGTTGCAAATCAGGCTGCTTATTGCTGAACAATGTCTGCAAGAAAGGTTTGAGTGTATTTGCAACCCCTGCACTTGTATTGCTGAGCAGCCACCCGTGACAGATTTGTACATTTTCTAAATGGACACATAGTTGACAAGTGGTCAGGGTCAAGACATTATTTTCACATCTTCGGTCTATCAGTGCTTTGATGGCCAACATCAATGATAAACAGCCCCTGGCATGTCTCATCTTGTAACATACTCTAAAGCAAACTTGGTAAGCCTGTTTCTCCCAATTTAATTCCTTCTGTCTCCCATTTTTGGTCTCTCTCCTTTACACTTGCACTTTTTTTGCCATTAGTGCTATGTTCCTTTTCTGGCATCAGTCCCTAATCCTAAACCCAGTGCACTCAGGACAGCCACTGCTTCCACTATACCTTACACTGAACATTAACAAATCAAGCTATACAGCCATATAGAAAATAATAAGAAACGTCTGGCATTTAAAATCAAATGCTAGGGACAAAATAGCAAAAAATTCAAAAGTAAACCAATGTTTCAAAAGTGTATTGTTCAAAAAAATTTCAAATCTAATTATTAATCAATTGGCATAAACCTGTTTAAGATATTGGGTGAAGTTATACATAGAAACATAGTGATTCATTTATAAAATGCCACACTCTAATTTAATAAACTATATTACTCCAAATTATCCTAATAAACCGTAAGAGAAAATTTACATATTAGTGGATGTGCAAGAAAAAAAAAATCTCAGTGCCAGATATCGGCAAAGTGTAGAGTCAGAGCACTTTACAAAAAAAAAAGATGCGGGGTACATACCACGGATGCTAATGGCCCAGCAACCACCAATACACACCCAATTTTCGGTGATTTCTCTATTGCTGCTTATATTAGGTACTTTGTATGGTTGTGTCTGGAATGTGCTTTTTCTACAAAGATGTGCTCTTGGGAGGACCTTCTGCACATTGTAACCTTTATCTTCTAGAACGGTTCAGTCTTACTGACATGGGCCC